GGCTGATTGAGCCGCACGGGTTTTCTAGTTGGGAACGCGCCAAGGCCACCACGTCAACCCGCCATCAAAAAGAAGAAGAAGTTTGAGGTGGCAGGTTGACGTGGTGGCTCGTTGTCGGGGTGGCACGTTGACTCTAGCGTGCACGACAACCCGCCACCTCGGAAAAACGTGTGGTGGTGGGTTGTCGTGGTGGCACGTTGTCCTGGTGGTGCTTAGACGTGTTCATACACGTCAACCAGCCACCTCTTTAGTGTGGTGGTGGGTTGACGTGGTGGCTGGTTGACGTCTACGTGTGAGGTGGCGGGTTGACGACATTGAACATTGAGCGTACACGACAACCCGCCACCTCATAAAATAGTGATGGTGGGTTGACGTGGTGGCACGTTGTCGCTTACATGCGAGGTGGCGGGTTGACGAGAGTTAACATGGGGTGTACACGACAACCCGCCATCTTTGTTGGCAAAGCCGCTGTTGTCTGTATATTATAAAATGCATCACTTTTTGCAGTTTACCTGGACATGTGTTATCTAGTTTACTGTGAAGTTAACTATACATTAGTTATTGTTAATTCATTAATGATTGTTAATTCATTATTGTTAATACATTTTTAGTTGAAGTTAAAGTAATATATTATTGTTATTTATTTTAATAGTTTATTTATTATTGTTACTGTTGAATTTTTACAGATATTTGTGTCAATGTTGTCTTTTTTAGCGAATTTCCCTATAGGGAAGTAGCTATTACCATAGGTCTCATGGTAAGACTTAGGCCGGGACCGATTTACTTTTTCATTTTGATGCCCCCAGAGGCCAAAAACACAATTCGTTCAAATTTTTATATATGTATATATATATATATATATATATATATATATATATATATATATATAGATTTATATATATATGTGTCCGTGAACACGATAACTTGAGTAATTTTTATCCGATTTTGATGAAATTTGGTTTGAAGGTGTAAGGCGAGATAAACTTGAATGAGTTCGCGATCCAGCATGATCGGACCATGGGAACAGGGTTTTATGGGGGGTTTTATGAGGTAAAAATAGGTTTTTCTCACTTTTGACCCTCAAAACACAAAATATCCCAATTTTTCTCTAAACCTTCTTAAAGAGCTTAAAAAAACAAACAATTCAGTATATCAAAGTGTTTTTGAACGGTTATTGGTTACGGAGAAAACTAAAAAAATTGTAAATTTAAAATTCCCATGTTATTCTTATGGAGAATATTGTAAAATGTTGTAGTTTGCTTGTTTATGGATATCTTTTGATAAAACTTGGCAAATATATTCATTTTATATTAAGCAATAATTATTTTACTTAAAACACACACTTTATTAGTTTCCTTGTAGCAGCAAACCTAGGTACTCGTTAAACCTAATGTTATTTAAATAGATCGTCTGAAAATCAATTCAGCCAAATGGAAATTCGCTTAGACAGCAGGTTTGCTGCGGCGGGGGTATTTATAATTACTCAAGAGACAATTAAGAACTCATAAAACTGCATGCTACTGTTTCAAACTGACAAAACTGTATGGTAAATAAGAAACAATATTTTTAGTGCAGACAAACCATTTGTGGTTTTTGCACTTTTGTATCCTATGTATTGGTAATTATTGTGTAAATAAATTTCTTGATTAATTGAAAAAAAAATTAATTTTCGAATCGTTAGATCTGCCATAGAAATAAAGTACACGCATCCACGCAAGACAACTTTTCCTTTTAATCAACGGTTATTGTTTATAAGAATTTTAAGATAAACTCAATACAAATTAACGATTAAGGGTAATTCTAGAATTAAAATAAAAATATTAATTATGTTTTCGCATATTTTCATTGAAGACAAAAACATGAAACTTAATTTTGAAAAATAAGATATTAGTTTCTTATGATTTTTTGTAGGTGTACACCTGGTATAATACCCATATTTATTTTCTTTTTCAGCATTATGACAATGAATTACAAAATAAATTACCTAAAAACTTCATTTATTAATTGTAATTCACGTGTGTATGGCCTAAACAAAAATGATGAAAATGTATTGTTCGGTTAAATACTTTCTCTTAAAACCGTATTGTGGTGAAAATAATAATACATTCAACCAAAAACATAAAACAAAATATACATCGTTGATATAGAGTACAACAGACTAAAATGTGCTTTGTGTGGACTAGCGCGTTGTCGCCTATGAGCGAGGTGGTGCGTTGACGGCACCGAACACTGAGCGTACACGTCAACCCGCCACCTCGTAAAAGAGTGGTGGTGGGTTGACGGGGTGGCGCGTTGTCGCCTACGTGCGAGGTGGCGGGTTGCCGACATCGAACATGGAGCTTCACGACAACCCGCCACCTCTGATAAAAACTGGTGTTGGCGGGTTGTCGTGGTGGCATGTTGTCGTGGTGGCTCATTGACTTGAGTGTGTACGACAACCCGCCACCTCGGAAAATTGTGTGGTAGTGGGTTGTCGTGGTGGCCTGTTGTCGAGGTGGCGGTTTGACCTGTAGGTACACGTCAACCCACCACCTCGGTTTTTTGTGGTGGCGGGTTGACGCCTCTGACCAAAACACCGAGGTGGCGGTTTGACGTGGTGGCGCATTGACAGCGACCAACTGGTACAATATCAAGTAAAAACAAAAAATATAGACGTCATAAACTCCTATTTCAAACTACACTTTCACAGAGTACAGATTTTGCAGTTTGCTCGCCCTGCGCAAAAAAGCTTAAAAATATCGTTTTGATATGAATCGCTCTATGTGCCGATATAAATACAAATATCGTTTTAGGCGATACGATACGTATCGTTTTTTAAATATCGTATCGAAATATCGTATCGTCCCTCGCGTATCGCGATATTCCGATACGATACGATACGTATCGCGGTATCGCAAATCGGAGGATCAGAAATTACATGTTGTTTGTTTATGACCTGTATAAGGGCTCCAGTGATATGTGTAGGAAAGGGCAGCTCTATTCTCTTTATTTGCAGATCAAGATGAACTATAGGGTTAGAGTAAATGTGGCCAAGAAATCGTTTAATGCTGAATCCATCCTTAGTGCCCCTAACCCATGTAAAGCTGCGTGGGACATAATCAATAGGGAAAGAGCACCAGGTCCTGGGCCTATAATCCAAGCATCCCCTGATGAGTTTAATGAGTATTTTACAAGTGTGGCTGGAAGCATCATCTCTGATCTACCTGTGCTACCTGTGTTGCAGACGGACCCTCTGGATTCTATGCCTGACTTCTCCTCCGTCTATTCATTTACCTGCTGGAATACTGTGAGTGTAAGAGAGATCTATCATACTATTAAGAATTTTAAAGACTCTAAGAGCCAAGATGTCTATGGCCTTTCTGCACATGTTCTCAGGGCTGATGCAGATCTTGTGGCCGTTCCTCTTACGCACCTGGTCAACTTGTGCCTGGCTCATGGATCTTTTCCAGACTCTTTAAAAAAGGCTCGGACTGTGCCCATCTTCAAGAAAGGGAACCCTGCACTCATGGAAAATTTCCGCCCCATCTCTATCCTCCCTATCTTTTCTAAGGTGATGGAGACGGTGATGAAGAAGCAGCTCCTCTCATATTTTGAAAAGAATAGCCTACTGGTGGACTCACAACACGGTTTTCGTAGCGGTCGATCTACCACCTCCGCACTCCTAAGCCTGGTCGACACCATATCCCGGGCCTTTGAGGAGAATGAATCGGTCCACCCAAGCCTTTGTGACCTCAGCAAGGCTTTCGACGTTGTGTCACATGACATCCTTCTGGCCAAGCTGAGAAAATACGGAATTGGCGGTGCAGTTTTCAGCTCTCTTGCGGACTACCTTGGCAACCGCAAACAAATAGTGACCATCATGGGAGCTTCATCTACTATGGGCTCTCTTCCCCATGGAGTTCCACAGGGATCGGTTCTGGGCCCTCTCCTTTTCACAATCATGATCAATGACCTTGCTACAACCAGCCATGCCCTCCTGTTTGCAGATGATACCACCTTGGTCACAAAGGGGAAGAACATCGACCCGTTGCTGGAGGAGGCAAACAACGCCCTGAGGCTGGCAAAGGACTGGTTTATAGCCAACAAACTCAAGATCAACGAGGAGAAGACTCAGACCCTTATGTGTTCCCTGAAGATCGGCCTTGAGGACAACAGCGTGAAGCTGCTTGGGTTCTGGATGGACTCTAAGCTAAGTTGGCACCACCACATTATGAAAAGGTATGTGTAAAGCTCTCAAGAGTTCTTCACCTTTTAAGGAAGCTTAGGACCACCATTACCAGACCGTATTTGCTAGCGGTGTATCACGCACTGTTTCACAGTCACCTCACGTATGGCCTGGTTCTGTGGGGTCATTCTCCGTCAACACAGGAATTACTCCTACTACAAAAGAGGGCGATGAGAATAATAACATCTTCTGGCTACAAAGCACACTGTCGGCCTATCTTCCTCGAGTTGGGTGTGTTGACTGTCTACAGCCAGTATGTCCTTAACATCTTGACCCTGCTGAAGATAAACATTCATCATTTTGTAGTCAGAGACAATGTACATAGCCACCATACCCGCCAAGCTTGTGACATTGATCTGCCGAGATGCCACCTAGCCCGCTCTCTGAAGAGTTATCCTCGGTCGGTGATAAGGCTGTTTAATTCCTTGCCGGTTCATGTGCGCAATCTGGACCTTGATGATTATAAGACGGCCCTGCGTGACAGGCTGGTTAATAGGCCTCTTTACAGCCTCGAAGAATTAGGCAACGAGCCACTTTTTAGCCATTGCCACAGTGTAAATAGTATTGTGTAAATAGTATTTTAGTATTTAGTAATCTGACGCAGTCATGCCGATTTCATCGGCCAACGACATAGACTACAAGTATCAAGTAAGTAAGTATCAAGCACATCACTATTTCATTTCGTAGTTTAGTTGTCGTTGGCACTGAATACTGAAGGAAGGGAGGATTGGATTGGATTGGAATTTGAAGAGTTCTGCTTCTGCTCAAGATTAAGTTGAGTTGGGACTGTTGTCTTGTGTTGTGACAATAATAAATGAAGTAAACCGATGGACATCGAACATCACAGTATCATTTGTGAACAAGAACATATTATTTCACTAGAGTATTTTTAAATAGATGTGCGTTATAGGCTAGGGTACGTGATTGTTATCTTTAACCTTCTCATTTCGGATCTCAAACTAGGCTAGACCTATTTTCTCTTTAGGCTTTGGCACAATAGCCTAGGCCTAAGTTTACCTAGGCTGTTGCCAAACTTGTTCTAAAGCAACGAAAAATGAGGTTTATAGGTGTTGTGATATAGGTAATAAAATAAGCCAACTTTCTAGCGTTTCTCACCAAGTCATTTAGGTAGGCCTAGCATATGTAACTTACCTTTAAATTAAATTTCTAGGTTAAATTTAGCGACCCTAACACCTAAATCATGAAGTAAGAATATCTAAGCTAGGCCTAGGCTAGACGACTTAACCTACGATGTGCTAAGTTATTAGACGTCTATGAGTGTTACATAGGCTACTTATTGAATTAATAATTATAAAACATAATCGTATGAAACTAAAAATAAGTCTTGTTTTTATTCATCATCAATCTTAGAATGTAAACATTATTAAACATATTAACAGCTGTAATATATTAAAAATCGGATTGAAATTAATTAACTGGTCCAGACTTATATAGATATAAAACAAGATATAACAGTTGTTCTCCCCCTCTTGATTTCAACGTTGCCTAATTCAATATTCACTTGCAACAACTACCTACATTTCTTAGATTTCAATATCCTTGAAGATCGTCTTAAGTGATAAGCAGCTTTGGCTCTTCAATATTTTCATAATTATATGCTGCTGAAGGTCCTTCAATGTTTTGTTGACCGGCACTTGCAGGTGTCTCTGACATTGCGTACCTAATCCCTATTTGATCTAGATAGGTACGAAACCTTACATTTGATAGTTTCAACTCACAATTCAGTTTCAAACTTTGAAAATCAGTTAATGATACTAAAGTAACTTGACTGCCAGAATCAATTTCAAATTGTTTTGAACTTCCACCAACTTTGACTGTGACTAAAAAAGGATCGTCTCGAGGTTCACCTAAATTGTAATAAATAGGTACAGTTTTTACCTGATTGCAGTCATATTCAGAATCTGCGTCACTTCTTTCAGATTCTGATTCTTGTATTTGCTTTATTGGCTGTCTGTCTATAAGAGATGAAATGCAGACTTTCTCGATGTGGCCTTTCTTATCACAAGATTTGCAATAAAGGTTCTTGGATCTACAATCTGATGCTTTGTGATTTTTTTCCCACAGCGTAAACACATATTTTCTAATCCAAGTTCTGTTTCAAGTAGATTTCTTTTCTTGAAGTTTCTAGATGATTGTTGGCTTTTTCTAGTTTTATTTCTCATAGATTCGAAACTTGACACATTTTTCAATGCTTTGGATTTAGAAATTTGTTTAACATCTGAATCGGTACCATATAACTTGTTTTGTATTTTAGCAGCTTCAATTGCTAGTGAAAATTCAACTGCTTTTTCAAAACTGATGTCGTTTCCTTGCTGGAGAATCTGTTCCCGAATTTCACTGTCACGAAGTCCTCGAATAAATTGTGCTTGTAAAATGCTATTTACTGGTTTCCCACAATTTTTTTCTTGGCAATTCCATTTTGAAGATATAGAGAGCTGTTTTAAAACTGCAATGTATTGAGAAATTGATTCATTAGTACCTTGTTCCCTTGATAAAAATTTGTGTCGTTCTGTGAGAACATTTGTCTGGGGACAGAGTTGTTTCTCCAGTAAATCAGTTTTAAAAGGTTTCATAGTCTTTTGAAGATGGAAGATCAGGTGCTGTTAAACTTGATAGAAGGGAATAATATTTTGCACCGAGTGCATTTATCAATATTCTTGCTTTTGTTTCCTTGATTTCTTTTGACTCTCCATGTAACTTTTTTAGTTCAAAGAAGTTTTCCAATCTCTCTTTATAAGATTTGAATGTTTCCACTGTTTCATCAAAAGATTCAAAGGTTATTGAAGAATTTAATATAGGTGTTGTGTCTTTACTGTCTTCTCCATTGTTTTCTGGTTTATGACTTGCAAGTTGTCTTACTAAAGCTACGCGCGCACTACGGCGGCACGGCACGGACGGGCGGTACGGCACGGACGGCATTTTTAAGAGGGGGTGCGCGCACTACGGCGGCACGGCACGGACGGACGGGACGGGACATCCGCACATCCGCAATTTAGGTTAGATGACAGTCTACGAGCTAAAAATTGTGAGTTAAGATGGATGTAGATAAAGTGGTGATAGTAGGTTTAATTTCAGCAGAGGAAGAGGTGACAAGAAGGTGCAAGCAAAGAACATTTAGATACACCACATAAACAGGAAAAGACTAAGTTTTGGAGAGTTCCACACCTTGTTTCCTGATCTTGTAGAAGGATTATGTGTAAAACCTACTTGATTGTTTCATAATAGATCATATTTCTGCCCATATATTGTCACGCCGGACGTTATTAAAATATTCCGGATGTCGCATGTTGTACAGTTTGGGTTTTTTCTCAACGAGAAAAATCAACTTACTAACATCTTTGTTTACAACACACGAAAACACTGCTACTTTGACAGAGATCAGTTGAGAATGGCGGATGTTCCGTGCCGCCCGCCCGGTCGGTGTGCAGTGCTCCCGGTCGGTATGGGCGGTACGGGCGTCACGGCAGCTCAGAAATGTCCTAGAGTTCTGTCTCCCGGACTTTTTAACAAACGGCGGAAGCTGCCGAACGTCCGTTGCCGGCCGTACCGCCGTAGTGCGCGCACTCATATTACATTCAATGTTATTAACTTTTAAAAATTGCCGTGCCGCCCGCCCGTCCGTGCCGTGCCGCCGTAGTGCGCGCGCAGCTTAAATGAGCAAGAGCAGCAGTTTGGGCTTGTAATGTTTCCAATATTGCTCTGTTTTGTTCAGTCACTTTTTGATTATCCATTCATTCTTTTCAAGCTTGAGTAATGCCTAATCTCTTTATTTTCACCTCTGAGTCGCCATTGTTACGTACTTATTGAATTAATAATTATAAAACATAATTGTAAGAAACTAAAAATAAGTCTTGTTTTTATTCATCATCAATCTTAGAATGTAAACATTACTAACATATTAACAGCTGTAATATATTAAAAATAGGATTGAAATTAATTAACTGGTCCAGACTTATATAGATATAAAACAAGATATAACAATGAGTATCAGCGTAGAAGACAGTAGGTAACATTTAGGGAGTCATTACATGGACTTAAGGATACCAGCATTATAGTCAATGATACCGGTGGTATCCTAAAATACAGTGTTCGCTTTTTAAAATTTATCAACCTGTGATGAGATAGGCATATCCTAGTCCCTCAGTCCTAATGTTAGGGTCTATATCAACTAAGTTTGATTTGCCAAACTGCATAGAGAAAAATTTTTCATTTCATGGTTTGAATTTTATTCATCAATTTAATAACCAAAATAGGCCTACCCTCAGTCGAAATGGCTGAGTTAGAACAGAATTCTGCCTGCAGCGAGGAAACTAGTTCTCTGTGTGACGAGGAAAGAGTTCGTAAACTTTTTCAAGCTTGTGATGCAGATGGTGATGGATTTATTGACAGGTAAGCCTAAGGATAATGCCTCTTTCTTAGCTTCTTTATTTGCTTAGTTACGGTACTTTGGTAGGCTATTATCTTATACGGAGGCCACATATTTTACAGCGTGCTGCAGCCGTTATGTTAGGTTGGGTTATCTTATCTTAAATAGCCTAAGTTTGTAGGAATATTGTCGTTTTGTTATGAATCGAACAATATCTTACCAGATGAGTCATACTTTCTATTTAATATAACCCAGCATATAACCGCCGCAGCCCGCTGTAAGCGTGACCTCTGTATAATACCAAAGTACCTATGCATCTCTAGTTCATTACTTAACTTAATATATATAAGGACTAGGCTTATCAACAAAACCCCAATTTAAATTTAAAACTATTTGGCCACTAATCATTTACTTACTTAGCCTACTTACTTACTCCCTCGACGTCGTTGACCAGCTCTTAGACTGAGTCAAAAATAAAAATAATATTTATATACATATTTACAAGTTTGGCAGCAGGTTAGACACAAATTAAAAAAAAAAAAAAAACTCATCTAGGGAGTACCTACAAGGGCCTTGCCAGTAGCCACTCCCTCAGTTCGTTTTGAAAACTGAGGCCTCAAGGTTTTTAAAGTACAGTGGCAGTCGGTTGTACATCCTAATTGCCAACATAAGAAAGCTGTCCTTTTTTTTGTTTAGTGTGCAGAAAGGGATATTAAGGTTGGATTTTGACCTTGTATTGTGATCATGTTGGTCTTCTCTCAATGCAAGACTAGAGATGTTGGTCCTTATGTTGTTTAGAGTGATTAGAATGTACTGGCTGTATACTGTAAGGATAGGCTATTGAGTTTACTAAAAAGAGGTCTGCAATGTTCGTGGTAGTCAGCGGAGGAAATAAGTCTGACTGCCTTCTTTTGTAACAAAAGTATATCCTTACAGCCAGCTGCATGGCCCCAAACCTCCAACCCATAGCTGAGATGGCTGTGGAACAAAGCAAAGTAGACAGTCAGTAGGTATTGCTTTGTCAGCATAAGTTTGAGCTTCCTAAAGTGATGCAATGTCCTCGATAGCTTGGTGCACAGGGCCGGTTCTAGGAATTTTTCAGAGTTAAGCGAACACCCGAATCAGAAATAAATTGTTAACTTAGGCCGTGATGCTCGTCAAGCATGACGTCACGATAGAAGACGGCAATGGCGTAATTTTTGCTGTTTGTGATCAGCTGCTTGTTTTAATATTTCCTTGGAAAATAAATAAATAAATACCTACGTCATTGCCGTCTTCTATCGTGACATCATGCTTGACGAGCATCACGGCCTAAGTAAACAATTTATTTCTAAATGTGAAAACAATTTTTACAGGATAACTTATATAAGTACAGGATACGATATAAGTTTTTACCTAACCCGCCATGTTAAACTTCCCAATCCCAAGCGTGATGTATACAACTTCTTGACTTCACGAGTGATGTAAAGTTGAGTGAAATGGATAATGAAAAATATTGTACGTAACCCCCTGTATATTGTTGGGTCAGGTAAAATCTTGTACGTTACACGTTACGCAAGAGCGTGTTTACATCACATAGGTGAATTATGCAGCTCGCTTCCGCTCGTTGCACAACATTCACCTGCGTGATGTAAAAACGCTCTTACTACACTTGTAATGTAAATAGCTATTACAAAGCCTATTACAATGAAAACAGGTGTAAGTAGATGACAAGAGAGGAATTTTTAATTGAACGCATTAAACATGTAGAAAACATGAAAAACCAAATTTATTACCTTGACAAAAAGAATACAAAATTTTCAATTTTAACAGTTCAAAAGCTTTTAGCAGTTAAAAATTAATTCTCCTAGCTTTGATCTTGGCAAATTCTTTAATTGCTGAGTCGGTATCAATCTGGTTCAGAACAGGTGTACATATACAACTAAAAGAGTGCAATACAATACAATGTAATGCTCTGATCTAGCAAGGGCGAGTTATCAGAAGTAGAAGGAAGGGGAGGGAGGGGGAAGTTTCTTGTTGTGACAAGTGGCGCTGCGCGCTTGCTTATCTCGAGCATGAGTCATGAAATGAAACCCAAAGGCGCCGCGCTGTACGCTGCCGAGCGTCAGCTCACTACAAATCGAAGAGTTGTAGGGCTGTACAAATATACGCATTTTTCAAGTGCTGTTGGTACAAACAGAATAAATTACTTTATTGTGGTGCTTTGAATACTTTAACTCTGAGCAAAAATAAACAAAATTACTTGTAAAATTAAAAAAAAAATTCCGTTGGCGCCATGGCGCCACTTTTTCATGGCGCCATATGCGGCCGCGTAGTTCGCGTATGGGTTAAACCGGCCCTGTTGGTGCACATTTTCATGGTATGTTTTTCCCAGGTGAGTTTGGGGTCGATTATGGAGCCTAATAATTTTACTTCAGACAGGTTATTAGGGATGGGATTCCGAGCTAGACTGCAGGACATGTGTTGCGTTTTGCTTTAATTTAGGCAAAACTTATTTGCTTTGAACCACGTCTTGGTTTTCTCGAAGGACTGTACAGCCTTGACCCTGGCTTTCTCGGGAGTGCTTGCATCCGCAAAGATAGTCGTGTCGTCCGCAAAAAGCAAGACGTTGCCTAACTGCTTGAGGTCGTTCACCATCACCAAGACGATAATTATATAGCACAGGGCCCAACACAGATCCCTGGGGCACTCCATGTTTAACTGGCAATGGACCCTTTTACTGCCATTATCTGTTTTCGATTTAGGAGGTAGGATTTTAAGGCAAGCAGTGCTGGTCCCCCAACGCCATATTGATGTAACTTTTCTGGCAGTTGAATGTGGGAGACGCAATCAAAAGATTTGCTTTTATCAGCTAGGGTGAGTGCAACTGAATTTCACTCTTCAAAAGCATCGATTACCTTAGTGGCAAGTTTAAGAACTGCAGTAGTTGTGGTTCTACCGCTCCTAAAACTATACTGTGAGAAACTAAACAGACTATTGGTTTCAAAGTGTTGAACAAGCTGGGTTTTCATTATAGTCTCATAAATCTTTGCAAACATAGGCACTATGGAAATAGGTCGATAGCTTCCTACATCTTCATGGTTGCCCTTTTTAAAAATGGGTACTGTTTTAGAAACTTTTAAGACATCAGGGAAAACCCCATGGGACATACAAAGATTAAGTACTTTTGCTAGGGGATCAGCAATAATGTCCGCAACATGTTTCAACACAATGATGTTTAAGCCATGGATAGCCTGACTAGTTGTGTTCTTGAATTGTTTGATTATTTTAATGATATTTTGAGGTGTTACATTAAGCCCAGTTAGAGAGTTTATAATAGGCTTGTCCGGTATTTTAGTTCTAGTTTCTATTAATCTAGTTTATTTTAATTCTGTTTAATATAATAGTAGCCCTAATCACAACCGTACTTATTATTAATATATATATATATGAATTTGAACGGATGGTGTTTTTGGTCTCTAGCCCTTTCTTTCCCAAATTATGAAATAAACATTGAAAAAATTTATCTTTGCTTTATTTATTTATAATAGGCATTAATCAATACAAAAATATTTTTTTTACGCAAATTTACATTTAAATTAAAATTTTTATATCATGAGTAAAATAATCATCGTTGGGAAGTTACGGAATGACCATGAGTAAAACATTCATCATTGGGAAAATAAAATAATGCTATTTATAATTATATACAACAAATTATATTAATGTTTATAAAAATGTAACAAAGTTGTAAAAATACAGTAGTCTATAAGAATAAAAGTAAGGTAAATGTATATAATTATATTCTCAGGAATACAAGGAGTCCTCAATAAGCAGCTTCACAAATTGTGTGTACTGGTGGTGTTTAGCCTACTGCAATACCACTCATGTCATGCGGTTCCAACCACTCATTTTCTGTGGTAGCCAATAAAACAATTTCTTTTTTGATTTAGGCACAGGTACAAGTCACATTTTGAACACTTCATTGTCGAATAGTTCTGAATACACAATTTGCATCTTTTCTTTGTCTCAGTTGGAAGTGGCCAATGGTCGACACCGTCGCACCTTACTTCATCAGCAGGCCTTGCAGAATACTTGTACTTCTTGGGTGCATTCGCTTCTGGAGAATCAACGCTTGGCCTTCCTCTCTTATTTTGTTTAGTTTTTCCCTCTCCGCTCTTAATTAAGGCTTCAGCAACTTGTGCTTTGAATACAACCAGAGATTTAGGTTTAGTTTCTGGCTCTAGTTGCTTCAAATGCTCGGCAATCGACCCGGCCGACTTACAACTTGCTCGTCTTTTAGGTGGGGATAAGGGACAGAGTGGGAGGAGCTAACCGGGATTACCCAGGAGTTTGAGGCGCTTCCCATGGTCTAACCACGTCGCTCGAGGCTAGAAGCCAGTCTTGCCAACTGAAAGTACTAGCTCTGTCGAACACTACACACGCGGCGTGTTTATACAGTCTGGCGTTTAGTTGACGTTGGCGCGCAATTCTAATGGATAGTTTCGTCGTTTCTATAGCAACCGTGACGTGACCTCGTTCTCGCGCATTCCTCTGCCTTTGTATTTTTTAATCTGCTTTGAAAGATAAGACTCGCTTATGTGCATTGACCATTGAATCAAATAACAATATCATTCGGGGTTTTTGATCGTTTGTTTGGATAAAACTACGTACCGTATATTGTAGAATTGAATTTGTAGTGTGGTAATATGGTATTATGGTATATATCTTCTATATAATTATTACGCTATATGACACTTTGTCGGTTGAACTCCTCCGCCATTTCTTAACCAATTTTATCCATTGACGTCTCATTGGAAAGAGCGTGTCGCGTAGATTTGCAAACTGGCCTTACATTTTTGACAAAGTCCCTTGGGTTCTGCCCCAGTGGCTTTGAAAATAAAGTAAAAAAAAAAACTTATGAAGAACATAATTTTTTAAGTTTTGATCAGCTGTATAATTTAATTGTTGTTATTTATTTTTCGATTCAATCAAAAGGCATTGAGTAAATTTATTTACTATTTGAGTTTTAAGCTTTTACACG